CACCAAGTTCGAGAGCTCGCCTCGAGCTGCTTAACTCGTACCTCGCCGAAAGAGTACTAATAAAGGGCATGATAGGCCGTCCTCTCTGCATTTTTCTTCACTGGAGGCTCACTTTTCATTTACCAAATCAGATATGATTCGTATTAACCATCGCAGTGACATATGCTCTTGAGCAATAAGCTTTCCCACAATTGTGAAGAATGTGATTTGCTCAACTCACTGAGTTTTTAAGCTTCACTAAGAAGCGATCTATAAGCTTTCCAAGTGTATCCAGTTCGCTGCGATCCCTGATACCATCAGCGTTCCTGCGCATGGAATACACTGCTGGCATGGTAAGCATACGAGAAATTGCAGTCCTAGCTCGTTGCAGTTCAGTTTGCGTCTGGAATGTTTCATTTACTGCTCGCCATCTTCAGAAGGTCCTACGTTACTCACTTGAGCGAAAATTTCATTGATTTCATGACAACCATAAAGATTTCTATTGGAAGTAATGCAAGGAATCGTGGAAGAGATCACTGGGTGGCTCAGTTGTATGGACAGCCTGGAAACGAACAACCGTTCCTATTATTGTCGGAAATGGGAGTCAGTAAACTGACTTTGCCAGGCAGCCTTCGATGTTGTCAAGTCGTTTCAAAGCGCGTTCCATTTCTGTCAGCCTTTGCTCTATCGAGGCAACACTACCTTTCTGCTTCCCTGCAAGCGACTGTGAAGACCTAAATGCACAGTGTATTCACTCCAACTGCTTTTTCCCTCCTGGTGTACAGTGTCGTACCTTTCGAAACAAATGCTGTTATCCCATGAGGAAACCGTTTGGCCAGGTGAACATACACAGCCATTGGAACAAGTGGGTGCGGTACAAGCCTTATGGTGACGTTGCTGACCAAGTTCAGCCTTTGTGAGCAGGTCTTTTATCTAAATTATCAACCCATAACTGCGATTTGTATTTAAGTTTGGAAAGGGACCTGATAGCTACGGGGTCGTCTAGTAGTGAGTAACATCTCTTTCCTTTTTGCGGCATTACAAATAATATTTCCTCGTTTTGGTACTCAATTGTGCAATTATACCGCGGAAAATGGAGAAATAACAAGGTATGAATAGATCTCAACAGAAAGTCAATTTGATCCTCTCGTGGGATTTCGCGCAATAGTGCCGAGACGGACTTCAAGGCAATTCGCGATTGCTCAAGGAGACACATCTCAATGCTGCTGTCACCATGTCGACATTGATGGAGAGCGGATTATGGTGCACTGAGATAATTTTTTGCAATTGAGTTCACGCGAGACGCGCGATTTCCTTTATAGTTAATCTTCTGGGATAGTCCTAACAATTTTGTGTTCGATATTCTTAGTATATTGTTGCTAACTAAATTTTCAACCCAAGTCTGAGACATCTAACACCCCAGCAAGGTAACTAAGCCTTGAACTAATCCAGTTCCTGAGGTTCAGCTCGACCTTTTTTGGAGGGAGCGTGCTGCACTATCATCAAGGCGGAGAGTGCGGACAAATGTTTCCCTCTGATCAACGGTACGCTTTAAATCTCGTAGCTGCTCTGCGTACGCATTGACCGAGGAAGCAGCTTCTTCATCCAGCAGTTTCACGACCCGCAGCTCCCTCAGTCTGAGTTCACAGGTAACCCAAACCTCACTTCGTCATGAAACTGTAGGCTCCCGCTTTGAAGCATTAGCGTCGTGGAAGGTTGTCCGATAATTGAGGGCATCGTCCTTATTCAGCTCCATTATTTTGCAGCTATCATGCTGGCGTCAGGGTGGTGGAAGAAAGAGTTTGAGGAAGCGCTTGGAGGGGTCGGTGCCGATGGTAGCGGATAACATTCTTGTCCATATTGCAGAAGAAGAAGAAGCAGGAAGTCAAGCGAGTGGTACTCATAGAAAGACCGTTCCCATCTGTATAACTGCTCACATTACAGGTTACTCCTATTCAGGTAATGGGCTAGTATTTTGAGTTCAGAAAACCATGACAGAACTTTCCCGCCAACCTAATATCTAGCGCTCCGAGGAGGATTCTTTGCGCTGTTTGTCAGCTGTTTAATTCTGAGGTGCACAGATCCGGCATTACTTGGAACCCTAAGGCAGCGTTCACACTTCGCGACGGCGGCGCTTCAATCGCGTGTTCGGGCGATCGATCGTGCTCCAATGCAAAAATGGACGGATGCTAACTCACAGCCATTTTCGCTTACTTTTTCCTTCTTTCTCCTCCCGTTAGCTTCTCGCTTGTTTTTCACCTTCCTACCACTATTTCTTTAATCTGTTCCTAATGTTTGTCGGTTATTATGCTTGTTTACCTTTAACATATTGAAATTTTCAGATACATTGGAATTTTTCGGATGGACGGCCGTGTTGAGTGCGCGCACTTTCTATATTTCTTAGGTGGGTTCTTCAGGTTTCCTGTAGTTTTGGTTATCTTTTTCATTCATATCAATCATATTGTGTTTAGTTTGGTCGGCAATTCAGCAGTTCAGCAAAAAATAAGGATGAAAAAGATAACCAAAACTACAGGAAACCTGAAAAACCACAGAAATAGAGGAAGGTGCGCGCACTCAACACGGCCGTCCATCCGAAAAAGTCCAATGTATCTGAAAATTTCAATATGTTGAAGGTAAACAAGCATAACCGACAAACATTAGGAACAGACTGAAGAAATAGTGGTAGGAAGGTGGAAAAACAAGCGAGAAGCTAACGGGAGGAGAAAGAGGAACAGAAAGCGAACAAATGGCTGTAAGTTAGCAATCCGCTTCAGTCGTATTTTGCATTGAGCACGCGCGATCGAATCAGTTCGCGTGACCATGAGTCGCACGCTAGCACTAGCGACACGATCGATCGCGCCCGGGCGCGGTCGAACGCCTGAACGTGCGACCGAAGAGCCGCCGTTGCGAAGCCTGAACGCTGCCTAAGATCGCATTGGCGCAGGAGGAAGTGCATGGAATCGTTTCATAAGTCTAATGCTACTATTGTTACACCGAAGTAGTAGTGGAAGAAGTCATCCCTGTCCCGAGTTCAGGAACCTATAGCACCCATTGTGGAGAGCAGGTCAGCCCTCTGAGTTTGTGCCTTGTTAGAGATAGCTCTGCAGAAAGAAGCCAAGAAGGCGCACTCTGTGCATGCCAACTGCAGCAGTCGTCGTCTGCAGGAGCTATGGATTTCCTTGCTATGCGACAGGGGCTCTCTTGCCACTGCGTCTCTTGCGTCTCTTTTCACAGCATGCCAGTGCCAAAAATCAACCTTCTCTTGTTTGAGCTGTTGATGATTCTTCAGCTCTTTTCTTCACGTTCAGCTCGATGACATTACCAACTTCATGCTTGCAAAGGTCCCACTTCCTATATTCCTTATTGCAGGACTGGGTGTGGACCTTTGCCACATCACCCTGCTTCAAGGTAGAGCTGAATTCATAAATGTGGGCTCACTCCGTTTCAAGGACGCAGTGTGAAAAAACAGCGATGAAAAAACGCGTGAGTTCCTCCCTACTTTTTATCGAAGGCTGAGATCACAGTTGTTGTAGTCAGTTTCTTGAGTCAGTACAGAGCAAAGGCCCTTTTACAAACACAGATTACTTCGAACTTGCTTCAGTCCAACTGCCTGCATGAATGTGAAAATCGTTGTAGAGCACTATTAAAAATGAAGTGACGTCTTTGACGAAAGCGTTAATTATGAAGGGCAGATTATCACTTCATGTGCTATCTATTACTTTTATGTATGCGTTCTCCATTTCTCTGTTGACCTGATCCAACTTCAAGTCCAAGTTTTTCAAACGTTCTCTCACCTTCTTGTTTTCTTTCACGCGCTTCTGAAGTGTAACGGATGATTCTCGAGTTCTTGTTTCTAACTTATCTCTTTTCTATCCTACTCAGTTGTTTATGTCTCTGGTGGGAGGCAAGCTGGCAATACGCTTCTGTGATTACATTATTAGGTTGTCCGGAAAGTTCTCAGCGTTTTGTGTTACTATTTTTTGTACATTCATTGCTGATTAAAAACTCATTCTCCCTTGCGTCTCAGTAGTACATCCTGAAGAGAATTTCTCGCTTATCTGTGATGGGATAGTTGCCGTTTTCGCGCATTTCTCGATAGAACCCCGTATTCCCAAGACTTTTTGAAGCATGTCAAAAGAGCAACTTGGACGATATTTTTCTTCAACTACAAATTGGGTCAATCCGCAGTCGAGACAGCTCGACAAATTAACCAGGTGTGGGGGCCCAATAGTGTTGGAGAAAGCACCGTGCGACAATGGTTCGACAAATTTTCGTTCTGAAGATGAGCCTTTAGAATGAACCTCGTAAGCGGTCGTACCCTAAAGGCAACCCTGACGAGCATTGAAGGCTGCGTTTGTGGAGGCTGACCCATCCCAAACAGTTCGGAGAGATTGCAGAAAAGCTAGGCGTTGGCAAATCACTTCGCGGACGGTCTGAAACGCACTAGGAAGGTGAAAAAACTCGACAAGTGGGTGCCCCTCTATCTTGACGTAAGACCAGCGCAGAAGCCGTCTCGAGGGTTCTTCTCAATGCTTTTGCACGCAACAGAACGACCATTGTTTGGACTGAATTAGTCACGCGTGATGAAAAGGAGATCATATATGTAAGGAGGAGACCGATTCGGACCAGTGACTTGGGATGACCGCGACCACCGAGGCAATTTCCAAAGCCGAGATACTCATTAAAAAAAAGATTATTTCACTAGTGTGGTGGTCAATCGCCGGGTGCGCGTCATGCCACTATACACTATTTTGTCACCAGGCCTAGCCATCACAGCGGAGTCCGAAATCGACGAAATATATCGAAAATTGCGTCAGCTGCAGCCAGCACTATCAACAGAAAGGGTCCGATTCCTTTGCATGACAACGCCCGCCCACACGTTTCACAAATCACTATCCATAAATTGACGATTGTGGGTTTGAAGTTCCACCTCACTCCCATATTCTCCAGACCTTTCACCAACCAACTATCACCTTCAAACATTTTCAGAACTTCCTTGCTGGAAATACTTCATCAATCAGGACCAGGCAAAAAAGCCTTCGTGGATTTCGTGGATTCTCGACCACCCAGTTTTTTCTTTGATGGGATTTATCGACTGGTGTCACATTGGCAAAAGTGTGCTGATTCGAACGGTGCTCTATTCTTCCGGATTCAGTATTAAGAAACGTTATAACCGTTTAAAGTGAAACACTCGAAAAGCTTAGAACTTTCCGGACAACCTAATAATTTGTGGAAAACCTGCTTGGTGTGCCGCAATGGGCTGCCTTGTCAGAAATCCCTTCGAAATGGAAGTCGTGGAGAACATTAGAGTGACCTCTACGCGATTAGTTAAACAGTGTGTGGTCCGCTTAAATTCGATTTTAAGGTCACCCAAGAAGTTTATTTTCTAAGGTTTTAAGACGAAAACGGTCCCTGGATATCATTTTATCTACTTTCGAAGGGAGCTCAGGCAGTGCGGCCTTTTGCGGCAGATTACTCTGCCAACTTTCCTTTGATTAGAAGCGAAATTTAGTAAGAAATACACGTCTGACCTCTATCTGAGTTCACACCAAGAAATCTAATCGCTCCGTACGGAACACCTATTTACTGTGAAAGGCACAAACGACCCAACATCTATTGGGGGAATATAGCGATATAAAGCGCACTGACCAGCGACATTTAGCACCA